GATGTGGTGCAGTGGCAGAGCAGGGAGACGATCACAAGGGAGCAACTGATCAAGAACGTGAAAGGAATTGACGCGCTGTTCTGCATACTCACAGACAAGATTGATGGTACTTTACTTGATGCGTGTGGTACGTGGATATACTTGTAAAAAATATATATATATATATATATATATATATATATATATATATATATATATATATATATATATATATATATATATATCCCAAGATGAAAGGGGACATCTCACGTGCATGTGCATGTGCGTTTGTTTCGAAAAAAAAAAAACTTTAAAATTACATGTACATTCCTATTAAAAGTCAGTATTTAATTATATGCACTGTAATAATTAATTAAGCTGGGATCAAAGTTTCAAGAGCTGGGTGGGGTGTCACCTTATATCCCCCTTGTATTCTCAAAGTCTAAGCAATTTCGCCAAGGGCTACATCTAGATATTTGATTAATATATACCTGTATATTAATATTTCAGGTCCACAGTTGAAGGCAGTGGGCACCATGTCAGTTGGCTATGACCACATAGACATGAAGGCCTGTAAGGAGAGGGGGATCCCAGTAGGGTTCACACCAGATGTCCTCACAGATGCCACGGCTGAGCTGACTGTTGCACTGCTGTTGGCAACTTCTAGACGGCTTATGGAAGGTATATGAATATGTAATTCTAAATTAAGTACTGCTTATAGAGAGCATTAACACTGATATCATTGGTACATGTAACACTGATGATATATTTTTGGAGATATTAATCATCTTTTCATATAATTATTCATGGATATCCTCATATCCAGCGGTGGTTTTATCTGACCAATTTTATTACTAATACTCCAAAACACAATTTTGTAAAAAATTTCATTATGGCTGCAAATCATCTATTTCAAAATTAAATCAGAGTGAAACTTTCTGAGATGACATACTGTAACAGAAGATACTACTGTTCTTCACCATAAACATAATTCCCACCACCTTCAATACTAGGTGCTGGTGCAGTGAGATCAGGTGAGTGGGGCATGTGGAACCCACAGTGGATGTGTGGGCAGGGCCTCCATCATAGTACAGTAGGGATATTTGGCCTGGGACGCATAGGCCTGGCTGTGGCCAAGAGACTCCGCCCCTTTGGAATCTCACGACTGCTTTACTCAGGTAGAAAGGAGAACCCAGCAGCCAAGGAGGTGGATGCTGAATTTGTGTCCTTTGATACTTTATTACGTGAATCTGACTTTGTCATCGCTGGTTGTGCTTTGAACAGTGAAACCAAGGAGATTTTCAATGAGGATGCTTTTAAGAAAATGAAACCAACTGCCATATTTGTGAATTCAAGCAGAGGTGGGGTTGTGAACCAGAAAGCCCTGTATGACGCCCTGAAAAGTGGTCAGATTAGGGCTGCAGGATTGGACGTGACCACCCCAGAACCACTGCCCACTGATAGTCCACTGCTGGATTTGAAGAACTGCGTCGTTTTGCCCCATATTGGGAGTGCCACAGTAGAGGCTAGAAATGCCATGGCGGAGCTGACAGCTAGGAATATATTGGCTGCATTGAATGGAGAGCAGATGCCCTGCCAGATTGAGTAGGGAGTCACTGGAAATGTTTAAACTTTTAAAAATGATTTTCATTTCAGTACATTTTATTTAATATTAATTGATTTATTATTATTATTATTATTAATGATGCTTTATTTAAAATGTAAGTTTTACATTTATACTGTAAAAACAATTAGATATCAAAAGATGTCACAATTATACAAAAATAAAATGGTTATACATAGATTAAGTTGTATAATTAATTTAAATACTTTTGAGTATTTCAAGTACCTAAAAGTACTTATTCACCATTATTTTAAAAGGTATTATTATGATGATGATGATGATGATGATGTTAAGAATTTAAAGCACAAGTTAATATTGTTAAAGTATATATATATACATTAAGTAATACACTTAATTAAATACTGAAAGTATACATTTTAAAAGTTAATAGTATTATTAAATAACACAATTGATTTAAGGCTATTTTATCAGAAATCCAGTCATCACTCGATATTTTATGAGATTGAAATGGGTTTGGGTATTTAAGTGTAATCATGAAATGAGGTCATTTGCAGTACAGGAAATAAAATCTGGTCATGACAACGAACAGAGAAAGAATGTTGACCTCAACTGTAGTAATAAGCGAAATCTTTTTTTAGTCAACAAGTCCAGCTTACATGTTTTTGGCATGATTCGTAATTGTATGTCATATTATAAGGACATGAAATTGCTTTAATTTGGGACAAAGGATTCAACACATTTATCTGTTTTAAGACTAGCGAAAGAAGTCAAAACACGTACTAAACATCTATAATGAGTGCACGTAAGCCCTGTTGTGAATGAAGACGAGGTAGAATTCTCTAAGGTGTTGTTAAAAGTTATTCAAAGCAACTTAAAAATTGCTATTGTTGAGACTCGAAGGTTGATAGACCACGAGTTACACAGCTACCACAATTGCGGCCTACGTGCTGTAAAAAAGTTATTATCAATAATATGTTTGAAAATTTTGAAGAATGTTGCCTGTGACATTAAAGGTTGAAAAATTAAAGCATGAAATTTCCAGATAAAATTTATTTCTCATCCAAAAAATCCGAAATATAACAATGAAAAACAAACGCTGCAGGTAAGATGATTGAAGGCCGCTTTTATGGTTGTCGGTAAGGTTCTTTTTTAACCCGCTATGATAATCTCTCCTTCTTCTTCATGAATTTGTCCTGCTGATAATGCTTATTCAATAATTAAAAGAAAATATAATGAGACGAAACGCCCCCCGACGTTCACCTAATATTCGTCGAACTTGGCATTTGTATTTCATATTTGAGAGTTTCTTGTTACATTGAATTTTCTGCTTGCACGGCGCAAAGGAGATGGGCAAAATATTGAACTCTATGAATTGCAGAAGTAATAGGTGAATGTGATACTTGCTCCGGAAATTGAGTTTGACGCCATGTAATGATAAACAAAACTGTACGTGTATATTGGTTAAGACTTGGATGTTGATTCCGTCGTAATTCATCATCAGAGTAATGCGTTTGGTGTATAAAATTGAAAAAGGCATGCTCTTACATGACGCTGCTTATATCTACGTCTTTTTGGCCCAACTTACTGTGTCCTAGTTATTACTATCGACAGGTTATATTCTGGCGTAAAGCAATGACTTGGAATATTAAGTCACAGTAATCAACTACTATAAGGATAAAGAAAATTTAAAAGATAGATAAATACATGAAAAAGAAAAATGAAGTAAATAAATTAATGAATAGGTATATGGATGAATGAATCAATAAATTGATATTAAAACAGATAAATTGATTAGCAGATATTTATAAAACTGATGCACTTGAAACCGGTACCTCTAGAGAAAATGCTACTGTCTGATATATAGAATTATAAACTGCAGCAAAGAAATGAAATGGACCGAAGAAAACGTGCAACATTTTTCGCATTATATTTTTTGCATTAGTTAAAAATGAAAACAAGCTTGATATCAAGCTTGATAAAAATAGATTTAATATCAAAGATACCAATCATAGTTGACATTATATTTTACGTTTTGATGAAACTTGGACCCATTACACTGTATAAGGGTGAAACAAGCTACTAGTTAGACGTGAACGATCGAACGAACTTGGGATGTTTGAAGGGCATTAAAAAGAACTCCCATAAGAATAAGAGGAATCCTGACCCATATCAGCCAATCTTATCTAACATGAAAAGTAATAAATTTCCCAGTAAGTGACATAAATGGAGCAAAACATTATCAGCAAGTCTAATACACCTAGTAAGCTATCAAATGGTCGCTAGTTTACAGTGAAGTGTTTTTCTATTATGAACTCTGAATGTAGTGGGCAATCCATGCGTATCAGTAACCACTATATCCGCATTAATGACAATAACATTTTGTGTACAACTTTTGCATGATTGATTACAATAAATAGGTGCTTGGCTCTTGAAGTTGTATAGGTAGGCTCGTTATGTAAATATTGCTTGTTGATATAATAATATTGAGTTGTTTAATGATAAATAAATAGCCAAACATATTGGATAGGGAGCGACACAGTATCGGACTGGTGCAGAGAGAGCCGAAAGTTCGTGTCCCTGTGAGCTTGAACTGGGCGGACCGTTGTTTTAATTTACACTACCGATAGCGCCACCCACTCTCACAAATAGGTTGTCAAGCACTGGTCCTTTTCAAATTGTAATATACTGTATATGCTTGAATAAAAACTCTGTAAGATTGAATTGAATGAGTTTATGAAATTTCTAAAGACGCTGTGCTGCACGCGCACCTAGCCCCTCTCTAAAGGTCTCACCTCCAATTGTTGTCGCAAGTTACACAGATGGTAACCTAGCATGTCAGTCTATAGGGTTTAATCGGAATTCAGAAATCTTAACGTGCCGCCGATATCATTGACGTCGGAAATGACACTCGGAGTCTGATTCCGTTTTGATTTCGATGCAGAGAGGGACACGGATCAATGGGATGAATATGAAGAGGGCATTAATGTGAATTCAATCCGGTAGACTGTATTAAATGCTGTTTTGATACCAGTAGCAACAACCTTTTTAGATTGAACGTTCTATTAAGCACTGCAGAGTTTAAAGTTTGGATTAGATTGAACAGGGTTTGTCTCTTTTGTGCGATCTAATGAATTAAACGTGTCTCTGATGAGAGTTTCTATGACTCGAACTACTCGACGCATGTGATTTGTCTCTGATTCCAATATAACCACCCAGCGACGGACTGTTATTTACCTAATTTAACGCGTTCTGGAGAGGAATAATTATAATTTTATTCTCGAGTGATCAGATTTGTCTCAAATATGACCACACCAAGTCTGTCCCTCGAGACGCTGATATACACGCTGTGTATGGCTGTCGATACTTTCTAATGCGAGGTGACTGTCCTTGCCATTTAATGCCCTGAAAAGAGCAAAATCGGGGTATATTTTTCAAAATGAACGCCTGGAAAGGGGTACAAGCCAGAAAGGCACCTGCTTCGACCACCTTGGTAACTCCAAATCCATCACCGCCGTCACCAACGCCTCCAGCGTCTCCTGTACCCGACACGCCCAGAGACGGAGCTGATTTGAAGGCGCCATCACGTCGAAAAAGTCTTAGCAAGTTGACCAAATTGGACATCCAGGCCCTGGCTAAGGCTAACGACGATCACTCAAAGGATTTTTCACCGTGTGGTAAAGTTGTGACATCCATATTGGATAACTACGGAAAACCTTTACAAAAACCAAAGTTGCCGAGATGCCATACGGCGCCGGCTAGGGTTGTACGAAGTACGGCATTGGCGTATGGGCGTTTAGTTGTTGGAGGCAAACGGCAACAACATTCTGGCAATAATGAACCCCAAGACGTTGAAACTGGCACCAACAAAAGGGCGGTGTCTGCCAAAGGGAGATTCGTGTCTAAGAGAGAAGCGTTACTGGAAATGTTATCAGACAGAAATGTCGAGTTTAAAAGAAGACCGAAGACTCCCCAACATGCCCAGGATTTGTTCAAGTCGCGGCGGCTCGCAGCCAAGAACAATGCTAGTTGGGACTGGGTGCTCTCGGAAGCCTATGAACACCTTCAGTCTAGATTCGAGGAACCAGGGCAGGTAATGTTTAAAAGATTTATCAATGTGGCATTTGGACAGTATTGTCAATAAAGGAGGAGTTAAGAAAATGATTTCTTATTTAAAGGCGAGAACCTTAAAAGGGGTCATATAAAAGATTTAAACAAGTAGGATGAAGATAATTGTTACAATTTCAGAATTAAAGTCCTACAAACTTTTATTTACTCTTTTGATTATTATTTATTTATTGTTCTATTGAAAAACATGTAACACACAAAGCTGTTTATGTATATGACCCAGCACAATTTCGTTTATTTTAAGACTCACATTTTGTGTTCTGCTCAGCTGATCATGTTGTCATGTAATATTATATAGTCCCATTGAAGAAGTCTTCAACAGGACATGTTAAAGTCAATTCGTAGCGGATGCACTATACTAACACTCATACATTTATTTCAACAAACCTTTAGGTGGTACTCCATATTCGCGTTGATCAAGTTTTCTCGCACAATGCATCGCGCGTGCTTAAATTACTAAATGCGAGAAAACATGCCTATTGAGTACAAGAGTTTTTTCGTTTTGGTTTACAGTTTACAAATACTTCATATTCTGACTCAGTACTTACTGAACGCTCGGCTTTGAAAATTGAATTGAAAACCAATTTCAAATTATTTCAAAGGGATTTTGGCATTCGATTTGTTTTACATAACAATTCTAATTCTAATTTTTCTTTTGGTTACATTCACAAACACTAGTAAATAATGGGTGGAAACATTAACCCTAATCTCGCCAAGATCATCGTCAAAGATACTAAATATGTTTTAAAAAATCCCGGGCGAGAAGGATGCCATGTCCAAGAATGTCTAACTGCTATCTTGTTTATTATATTATGGCCATGGCATACTTTGATTTAAGTACATGGATTTGTTACTTTATATTATGTACCGAAATAAAAATTAAAGAAAAAAAATTACACTTATTATTGACCTAGAGTCTAATTAACTGTTCTACTATTTTCTAGGCAAAGGCATTTTTTCGGCGGATATCCAGAAGGGCACTGATAATACTGCGTTGGATTGCGTTCCTCAAAGAGTAAGATTCATAATATGATATGTTTTCACATTAACCTGCAGAACTGACATACAACCGACGCCGATATTTTTTTGAATAAGCAATAAATATGTTAGTCGGAGATGAATGAAATCTTTGATTAAAAAAACTTTTATCTTGTTTACAACTTTCATTACATAAACACAGTTTGCGCTTGCGTGTTTGAACACCCTGTCAGTGAAATATATTTTGTCATTGGTACATTTTCTGTTGACTCAATTGTTCAGCCAGGCACACTGCAAGCTGTATTTACCAAGTCTGTTTTCTGTGAAGATGGTATTCAGTTTTATAGGCACTGATTCGCTTACAACTGGCATATGATGTATTTTTCTTGCTTTAAAGGCAATCCAAGTACATCGACAGGGAGTTAGAGGAACTAATGGATATAGTTTTTGGTCCTAAACCCGAGGGAGACAAACCCACCACGCGAGATGAGGATATCGCCAGAAGTGCTGGAGTCGACTTCGACAGATTGTATTTTAGGGCGAATAAAGAGGTCAGTGCAAATTCTGGAAAATGATTTATACATATTTCAAAGTAAAAAAAAAAACAAATAAAAAAGTAAGTACCAGATTTTTCAGCCCAAAGCATACTACGTCTTTTTGCTGTTAAAAATAATCACTGAGCAAGAATTGTTAAGAGATTAAGGACCCCACTGTTTTCACTCATTTCAGTTGAAAATAACATTAGATGTGCAAAGGACCCTAACTCTTCCGCCTAACTCCAGGTCGCCGGAGATGTTAAGGAGGGTAGGTTTATCTACTCATTTATTTATATATATTAATGTACATCTATTGGCTACATAACCATTCATTTGATTTATGAGTTATAGTGTGCTTTATTTTATTGCTGGAGATATATCGGCTTGACTTTAAAATTATTTGGCTTTTATTATGGTAGACTGAATACTTAATGCAATGTAATTTACAAATGCCATTACATGTGCGCAAACCCCTTTCTAAGTTTCTTTGATGGAATCAGTCATCTTGCTGTTACTACATTAACAGTGGTGCCCGATGAGTAAAATACAAAATCTCCCACTGTACCTTACAAGCCATGAAATTAACGTTTCCATTTTAGGTCTTGTATAGTCTGCAAACGGTGAAATCTTTCTGTGACTATCCTCTGGACATGCAGAGAAAGATATGTGAAGTTGGCTGGTATCAATCGTGAGTATTTCCGTGAATATTTAAATTTCAGACAAATAACAAGATTTTTGGACCGATAATATTGATACCTATACATATCTGATACTTAACACAGGCCTCTGGTCGATATTTTATATATCAAAAGCAACTTAAATTTTAAAGCGTTTACATTTATTTGAACGCATTTATGCCGCATCATGCCTCTGACTGAAAAACTAATGAAACGCGTTGCAAGAAACAAGAAACTCGTAGAATTGCCAGTACGAGGTTAGAGGTTAAAATATCAGCGTCACCCATGTGGCCGGTTAAATCGATCCAAGGATATTGCGTGTAAAACCAATACCCTTCCCTTTACCCTTATTTCATTTATCTATATCTTATGTACAAAATAACCACCAATTAAAATTGCCTTAACCGTCATAGGGATATGTGCCAGCCCCAAGGTGGTAGGGCATATTTGACCAAGGCCCCATGCGTGAAAATATACGAAATTAATTGAATTTTTTAATGGTAAATTTATCCCCAATTTGCAATGTAAATCCAAAGGAGAAATTGCATTTTGATAGAACAATGTAATCTGAACCTAGTAATTTAGTGCCACTGGACGCTCAGGAATTTTTGAAGTGCAATATGTACAAATAATTTCAGGTTAGTATTATGACCAACAAATATAAATATTGACTTTCATTTAAAAAGGTACATAAAAGTCAACATAAAACATGTATTTTGAAGGATCTCAAAGAAACAACAAAAACACGAGGGTAAAAGTATCTTTCAACGACGTAATGGTTACATTGCTACACCGATGTCAACAAAAAACACAATGCCAAATATAGGGAGTAAATATTTGAAGTCCGTGGTCCGTTGCGATTGCGCCCTTTGCTCTCTAATCAAGCGTAAACGAGGTCACCGCGTGGATAATAGCGTGAACATGCAAGATTTCTTGGTCAGTGCCGATGACCTTTTTTCTTGTGTCGCTACCTTCTGTTATACAGCATATATCGTAGACAGCATAATCTTCAAAGAAGGCTATCCAGCGACTGGTACAATACAATAACATTACACAGACTGTGTTTTCTATTCATCGAACATGAACATATTGTTTATGTAATATGCATTCTGTTCTACATCAACAAGCACAGCTTTCTGTAATTGTTACAACTCATTCATGTTGGAAAGGTTCGTAACCTCGCGGTAGTGCTCTAACAGTATCGATCATGATGAAATGCCTGGGTACATGATATTTTCATGATGTGAGATATTGTTGGAATCACGTCTGAGCCAACTATTTCGTGAGATATGTAAAACAAAGTTGGGGAATCATTGAAACACATTTTACTTTGTTCATGTAATTATGCCCCATACCACAAACAGTTTAGGAATGGCGATGCGTATTTATCTATTTATTTACGTATTAATTATTTATTGATTTAATTAATTATTTATTTATTTATTGCTAATATTTACATACAAATTGCAAAGGACCTTAAGCGTTCAACCAAGGATATAATTTTCGAATATTGATATACAAAATCAACATGTTAAGACTAAGCTTTTATGCCGGGAACGCCAGCTATTCCTGAGAATGGAAAGATCATGTCTTCGTCTTATATGTCAATACTGTATGTATTTTTTTCAGACTTCCTGGTAGGAAGGTGATTGTTAGACAAAGTCACATAGCTGAGAATTTCTATTTTGTTCTCTCAGGAAGAGGTAAGATCAACAAGTAATTAGGAGATAACGTTTTTTAAATTATTTTGCAGAGGCCTGATAATACCTATAGGTACAGTACCTCAAGCATGTAATTTTTTTTTTTTTTTTTTTTTTTTTTTGTGGTGGTGGTGGTGGGGTATTTTGGTCACATAACGGAGATTTATGCCAGTATTGATAACTTACATTAACAAATATGACAAGTCAAACATCTGACATAATGATAATCATAATTGCGATTACTATTGAGAAATGCCTTTCAAATTGGCTGTTAATAAAACCCCTTGAGAGTCAACCAAATTAACATCCAACTATTCAATATCTTCTTTCTGTTTCTTGTTCTTCTCTATGCTATTGTAGATTTCTATTTCTACGCGTATTTTGCTTCCCAAATTCTATAGAAACGCCTTCCCTTTTTTCAGCTCTAGTCAAAAAAGTCGATACAAAGCAACCAAGTTATGGAGTAGCACGGGAACGAGTCGTAGGTTTTATTGCCAGAGGTCAAAGTTTTGGGGTACGTTTGCCTTAATATTTTTTCATTTTCTTTTATACTCAAATACCGTATTTCACATAAAGAGGTGATTTTGTGATAACTGTAAAACTACGTAAAATTCCGGGGCTAACAATCGGTTTTTGTTAAATGAAAAAATTGGATAAAGACCTAATACGACGGTTTACATCACTCTATAATTAAATGTTTGATTCCATACCGTTCGTCGTCACTTTTCCACCACATTCTTTTTTTCGTAACAAAAATATCACAGTTTTTTTTATTATTTGTTACGTATTCTTTTGATTTCCCTTGCTTCCAGGAGGTGGCGCTCATGCATCATTCTCCTAGATCCGCCACAATCGAAAGCATGACTCCCATGCAGCTTTTAGTGGTCGGCAGAACTGACTACATCAATCTGTTTTCCGGTGAGAGTGTAAATGGAGAACCAGCACATATAGCTTTTTGCAGGCAAGTCCACCACTATCGTCACCCTGATTGTCATAATATTAATGGTGATGGTTTCTCTATTATTGATTACCATAACCGAGAGGCCCCTTATGCTCTGAGGTTATCATCCATATGCAATAGAAAATATAAATGTAAATAAGTTGGAAGAGGATGGAGAGCTAAGTGCACAGATTATTTTTAATTGATGTACAATTAGCGCAAATCGATTCGTTATCACAGTCATCTCAAGTATGTTTTGTAAGGCAAAGAATATTTATTTATCTATAATTTATTTATGTACAATATATCAAATAGTTGATCATTATAAATAATGTCACAATTTATATTGTTATTAAACAAAAATTTGACCAACACAGTGGAAGCAAGGCATTCTTTTAAGATATGGCAAAGGAATCTTTTTGATTGAAAATTGCTTCTTATTCAGCTAGCGTATATGGCTTGATAATTGCTTCGAGTCAAAACCCCTTAGGGAATTGTACTCAAAAACGTTATTGCCGCAAGGCAAATGCCCTTTGGATATTTTCCGGTCAAAGCTTATGATTGAAGCCTTGACCATTAGACTGGCGGCTATTGTATCAAAATTACGTAATCGTCTAGTATATTGTTACTTTGAGTGTTGTTTCTGCTTGCCGATGAATTAAAAATAGACTAGAGATTTTTCATGTTAATTTTAGGAATGTGGAGTTCCTGAAAAAATGGCCGGTTGAAGAACTACTGGAGGAATCGAATAAGGACAAAATTCTCTTCAATTTCGTGAAGTGAGTTATCTTTATAAATTATCTATCTTGAAAAGAAAATGCAAATTAATCTGAATTGCCACATTGGTCATGAATGTTATTTTACTTCGCACTGAATTGCAGTAGCGGAGTTAATTGAAAATCTATTCCTCTAGATGCGGCGCAGCGCTATCGTGAGTAGGATGTGTCTCAGATTTATGATTTCTTCTCTGATGAATTTTAAAAAATCTTTCGACAATTTTTTAGGCGAGGAACTGTGGTGGTTGAAGATAGTAAGCAGTGTGATTGGATATATATCATCAAGTCGGTAAGGAACTCGGCCTACGTGCAGTAAAGATTGATGATTGCCCCTTTCTGAAACGTTAATCAAGCATTTAAAGTAATGTGAAAAGTGTACAGTATGTATACGAATATAAAGAAGTAAGTCAAGTAAGTATTTTTATATCATAGGTTGTTTGTTTCAACATTTTTTACTTTTAATTTCAGGGTTCGTGCAATGTTATCAAAAAGGTGCCAAAACCAAATCGAAAACGTACAAAAGTTGCATTGTCCATGGATTTAAAATTTGCCAACTTGTTGGAATTAGGTAATTAATAAAACGTCGTCTTTGTGAAAATCAATGTTAAAAACTTGTTAGACTATCATTGTCTTTAGTAGAAAAAAAACTGCAGTGTGACACACAACATGCATACAGTCACTGTAATACACATCTCTTTGGATGGTTTTGAACTCCTGATTGTCTTATGCACGTTTTAAGTGAAGTTTATTCAGAGCTAGGTTTTTCAAAATACTATTAAAATGATTCAATTTAAATTTCAGGGCCAAAGGTAAAGACTCACCGCAGACCGAAAAGCTGCTTTGCGAAAAGACCTATAGGAATATCTATGGAGAGTCTTCAGGTAATGTGAGGAGAGGTGCCAGGCATTAGCTAGGAGGTGGGGCAGTTTGGGAGGGGGTAAAAGTGTGTGTGCGTCGGTTTGCTGGGTATTCTCGAATATGAAATACACTTGAGTTACAGGGGGTGGGTATGTGCTCTAACTACGCCATCTATAATGGACTACAGTGACAATGCATGTGTTTTATGTGTGCTTGTCTAATTAAAACAGTAAAATAATGACTTGAAATCATTATTTCAGCTCTTCACCTAAAAAGTAACCTAGAAAAAAATTCGAACTCTTCCTAGACAAATATGTTACATAAAACTTCTCTGGAAACCCTTTACTTTGCCAGTGATTTTTTCCGAAAAATAATGACAGAAAATCATTGTAATTACTTTTATTTCTAGATAAAAGTACACGAAGCCTCTTCAGACTCGGAAGGCGGCGAAGACGACCTCACGATTCCAATAGTTGCTGCAAAGAACGATCCCAAACTATTACAACTCTCCCCACCTACAATACACAGGAACAAAAAAGACAATCATAACAACAATAACAGTAACAATGAAGATACCTCCAGTGATGGAGAGGACAACGTGAGTATGCAATAATTTTGTGGTAGAGATTGAAGAAAATGGCTGATTTAAAGGAGGAAGAAACTAGACCATGTTGTACCGCTTTTTGAAGACTTCCCCACTTTTCTAACACCGTTTATACGTAAAAAGCCAAGTTTAACGTTACTTGAACACCGGTATTCTCTATACGTCGAATTTTTCAAAAAGAATAAGATGTACCTAAAGGGTCCAAAACTGCGCTGTGCTAGTGGATATTCGATTTTCGAAATGCGTTATATTTTATGGCTTAATTTGCAGGTATCTGAAATCAGCTACCTCACCAAGACATCTGATAAAGGAGAACCCGGGTCGCATGACTCCCGTAGTATAGTACTGCAAGTAGCGGTGCTGCAGCCTAAAGATGTCTTCGTAAGTATTTACGTCCTTTATCTTTGTCTTCAGAGAAAAAAAAACTAAATCAAATTTATACGAGTAGAGTCTTTTACAGCAAAAATCTATAATTAAAAGAAAGAAAAAAGAGAAAAACGTTGTTCTGAGTCTTGTACAATTATCTCTGCACATAGACAGTGTACTTTAAAACATATTCTGTATACATTATTTCGCAATTATTGTACGTGATGATGAAATTGTACCTTCAATAGTGAGATAAAATAGAACACACAATAACAGCCAACAGATTAAATAAAAATGAAAAGTTATTAACAGTACAAATGTGGACAAATTTAGATGATAATGGCAGACTGTTAATAACATTTGACTGCACCATTCAATTACTAGTGACAATAAGAGCAGTTTCGTTCATTTCTGTAAATGACAGCCACATGAGTTAGCCCAATTTAATATCATATCATCATTGCTGCTCATATGCCACTTTCTTATTTAAGGGATTAGAAAATATGGTTTTTGATGGCGTTCGGGAGAAAATCCATCCTTCATTGACATTGGTAGGTGGAATATTATTAAGTACGAGTTCACTTTATAAGTGTTTTTGATATTTTACATTCTACTAGCTGTAAGTTTCATTTCCCGAGGTTAAGTTTTGAGGGTATGTTTGACTTAATTTTCCGTTTTCATTTTCTTTTATTCAAGTACCGTATTTCATATTAAGACTATGTAAAATACTCGTGGTAACGATCGGTCTTTGTTTACACTCTAAATGTATTTCCTGGATTTGACATTAAATTTTTATCTCAGCAGCAATCATATTTATTGCCGATGCTACGATACACCTATTGTTCAATGTCCCCTATACATTCAAAATACATATTGCAACAATATTTTGTTACGCCTTCGCTCCCCGTCTTTCCAATTAATCATCAATTATTTAAGCTTCGAGATTGTAAGTTGAAATAACTACACACACTGGACAAAAGAAGTGTCACCCCAACTGAGCCAATACTATGGGGGAGATAAATGACTGTGGAATTATATGCTCCTGGTATCATTTTATTAACATCAAANCACACACACAACACACACACACATAACACACACACACACATAACACACACACACATAACACACACACACACTCAGAGCACATTCAGAACGGCGGACTATCAGATCCGCGGAACAAATATGGTGACTCTCCAAAAGGCAATACTGTAGGATTATTATGATGGCATACAAATAAAATTCCAGGCGGAATATTTGGAACTAATATGTACGCCAAACAAAATAATATATCGACAAATGTGATTGGTTAGTGACGGATAACCTTACCTATACACGAATGTCTCCCCGGGGTTGATTGGACAGTGTGATATGCGAGCCACCCCGTCCATGTATGGAGTATCTCTCTGCACGATGCCATGCCAATGGATGGACACACCCTCTTCTTCTAGATTGTTAGTGACACTGATTATCAACTGAAATGAAAACGTAATTGCAAATGTCATTATGTGTTAAATGTCAACGTAAAGGCATATCCCTATAAATAAACAAGAGAAAATTGACAAAATAATTTGAGGAAATACCATCACTGTATTTAGCTTTCTTTCGATGTTCTCCGATTGAAGAAAAACAATAATGGTGATAGAACGTTTTCATTCTCACATGACATGTTAATTGTTATATACCTGTGTCCCGTAGTAAGCCACTATTGTCTCCCCGGGAAACTGCCCGTTAATGGTGATGACTCTACGGTAACCTCCGTCCGTCATGATGACATCGTCAAGGTCTGGAGGGAGAAAGTAAACAAGATCAGCTGCTCTGTATTTTAGTTCTTGTTAATTAATTTATTATTGCTTTAAATAATTAATTAATCAATGGGATTTTGTATGCGTAATTAATACCTTTAAGAGCTGGGATTGGAATATGCAAATAGTATATAAAAAGGCTTAATTGTCTAGTACAGTGTATGGATCGTGTAATTGGGATAAACTCACCAGACTCTGACAACGGCAGACGTGTGCAGTTTGACTGTTCCCCATAGTAATACTGGTCATTATCATACCTAAAGACCGGTTTTCCCGTGTTCCTCCTCGTGTTGTACCACACCCCTGTCATACGATAGTCGATAGTCCAGTTGTAGACGCACTTGCTTGGGATATAATCACCTCTGCGTTCACATTCAGGTTTGAATGCCACGTTGTGGTTATACCCTGCTTTGGTTTCGTGTCCATTTTGTGTTATTAGAATAACGCTAAAAAATAAATATGAAACCGCCCTGTTGCCCATTGTTTTATTTTCACCTGTAGCAGTCGACGTTCCGCTTAATCGATCGTCCTGCTATTAGTTAAAAAAAAGTGCGGTGCAGATTCATACGCAACCCCTACGTAACAAGAGCTCGAATTGACCTTAAAATAGAAGCAAAACACTGGTGTTGAAAATGATGCTTGCCCAATTTTTGCTAACACGAGGGCTTGACCCATGTGACTATAGTTATACCTAGGGTTCTCAGAGTAAAATATATACGAACAATTTATTGGTGAGAGCCATATGTTCAATAATAATGTGTCACCTTCTTTTAATGCCTTTGTGTGCCAAAAATGGGACCCGACCTTAGTTTATTTTCCTTACGTTATCCATTATCGATTTAGCTAAGGATAACGTACACGTATTGACAAACTTCAAGGTGAGCAGAGGGACATTATATTGTGCGGCTTATGCGTTGTAGGGCCAGCACATCCGTCGCTTGCTTTTTAAACCGTCTCTGGATCTATTGGGGCAGAAGGCGGGATCCTGAGAGGACTCTCCCCCCCCCACACACACCCCTCGAACACATACATACACACACGCGCGCGCCCGCTCGCAGGCATTGGTCCGCCATGGGCAAAAGAATACCCCTCCGTTGCTTTCAATTTTTAAATAGTTTACATCCACCCACTACAACTATGCTTCGGTGATGCTCATCTTAGCAAAATTCTGTTACAATTTTACGTTAGAAATTTACATTATTTTGGCTTCCATAATAATATTCGTGAACTACCGGTACGTTAGGTTTTATACAGGTCATGTTTTGGTACACAGTCGTAGTTTCTGGTAATGTATTCTTTCTCAGACAAATATATTTAGTCACACAGTATATTACTGGGTTGCAAGATTGTGTTTTAGGCCTCTCTAACACAATACAACACTCGATGAACCTTCAACTGACATCGGGCCAAATAAAGTTCATCACCACAGTTCTAGCGGATGCTCCACAGAATAAAAATCTTTGTCAGATGATGATTGAACGCAAATCACGCGTGATGATGAATGCGTAATTTTTGTTTGAAATAAGTTCGCAATTGTTTAATTTATTGAGGTCTTAATTTTTGCTACTCTCGATATGGAATATCACCCAGCAATGATGAATAAACATTTGAGTGATTATGATTGTGTTTAATTCCAGCATACTCACACTGTGCGAATATGGGCCATGTTTAAGGGTCTTGTGATGCTGTTTCTATTAGTCACTTCTTATATCCTGACCTGTGAGAAAGAATTCTCAGGCCCAGGCTTTTGAAAAGAAATTTAGATTTTGTCTCATTAACTGAATTAATTACATGTTGGTACATAATGTGAAAATTATTATCATTATTATTATTATTTATAATTTTAAATTTATATAAGATGTTCAGTGGACTTTAAAGGGGTAAAGTAAATAGAATATAAAGATGAATAAAATAAATAAATAAATAAATAAATAAATAAATAAATAAATAAATAAATAAATAAATAGTTAAAACTAATGTAGTTGAGCACATACTGCAAGACAAAACTAGTATTATAGTTATAAATTTTTTGAAAATAAAAGTTTCTAATTCTTTCTAAAATTGATCTCAGACTGAACAGTTTTAAAGATCATTGTGGGAGTGTCGCTCTCCTTTGGTCCATAGACTCAAAGAGCTATAGGTTGCCATATGTCCTCTACCTGGCATACATGGAAACAGCAATAACTGCATGCTTAAGTGATCTTAAACTACGTTTTGGAGCATAATGATGATGTAATTTAGGTATGTAAAGGGGGTGATGATTGGTAAAAAAATGCATGCATGACATTAAAAAAAAAATTGAATAAGATGCGTGCTCTAACAGGGAACCGGTGCAAGCGGGTGTGCGGGTTAACAGCCACGCGAAATTATTCGGCATTCCATACGTTTTTTATTCGTTCTTCGGTACAGCCATGCATAGAGTAACGAGTTGCTGTAGACAGTAGTATAAGTAAGTCGTTTTCGACCTGCATTTTGGAACGGGGCTATATACTTTCAATGTAATTTTTTTTAGTGAACCTTGAACCTTTTACGGGGCAGTATAATTTTAATGTAATTTCTTAGTGACCCCTGAAGCAGAAATGAGGCAAGCGAATTTTAATGACAATCATTTTAGTGTGAATGAGGGACGAGCAAATTCTAATAATGATTCAATAAAACCTAGTAGGAGTTTTTTTTAAGAATAAATATAATTGTATAGCGAGCTAAGAAGCGTAAGGAAGGAGGTATTTCTTATGTAATTGTATAGCGAGCAAAGAAACGTAAAGGAGGGGTTTGTATGGTTATTTTTAGCTATATTTAATTTCAGGAGTTATTGGAAAAAGTTTTTGATTATTTATTTATTGAAAAGGCAATTTGGAACCCTTTTTTTCTAGAAATGCGCAGAAGAATGCGTTTGGTGTGCCCTCACCCGTCTCGTGTTTGTGAATATACAGCTGAATGCGCTAAGGCTTGCGTGAGCTAGAAACCTCTTGAAAATACAATGCATCTAAGCGGTCTGGGCCAACCATGCAGAAAATTGATTTTGTCATTTCTGATGTCTCCTAGCTGACCCGTGATATGCTTACAAAGGAAAGTTCTAGAATATTTTCGGGAATCATTGCAATAATTAAGACACAGAGGGAGTTTTAGAATATACTGGAACTTTGAAAAGTTTTTTTTTTANTCAGGTAATTCATTATATTCCCTGTTATTTATCTTTTTGTTTAATTAAAGGTGCATATTTTAATGAGAAAGTTAAGTGTTTGCACATTAAGATTATTTAGAAAACAAAGCAATAACAGGAACATCTGAATTAGTAAACACATTTGTCCTTACATGCCATTTTTGTGATGTTTCCAATACCAGCCCATGAAACAATGACAGTACATGCTATATTTATATGACTGATTTATGTTTTCCATCATACATAACAAGTCTCAGGGTGAGCATTTCTGCTGTGCGTAAGATTCGGAAGAAGTTAGGGTGGATCAAATCTGGGGCAAAATACTGCCAATAAGTGAAAATCATCAACTGCCCGAAACGAATGGAGTGGTGCCAGCGTGCCTTGGCAGTGAACGATCAGTTCAATGATGTTATTTGGACAGGTGAGTATGCAATGCATAGAGTTTTAATTCCCTAATAACGCATTACATGAAACCAGTATGTAAAATCTATGCGGGTAAAGGATCTGGAGTCGCATATTAATATTATCGGCGGGGAATTGGTAAAAAAAGATTTATTTAACGTAACGGCAGATTTAACTAGAATTTGTGCAATTGCAAAGTCACTGCATAAACATGAAGTGGATAAAGTGGACGCTGAAAAAAGGCATGGACTGACGTCAATTTTACTTTTATTTAATCATTTCAGATGAATGCTCTGTCAAAATGCAAAAGAATGGACATTTCATGTTTCGCAAAGTCATTTGGGATCGACAAGAACGAAAACGACATTAGCGCTCCGCCCAGGCTCCAGCTCAAACCCAAACACCCATATAAAGTGCATGTGTGGGCAGGTAAGGAGCAGTTTGTGATTTCTAACTGTACAATAACTTTCATAAATTAAGTCTTGAAACAATTGCTGTGTGCAATGTAAAGTGGTGTTGTTTGTTAATATCACACAGATACTGTTACATAGCGGGTTTTCCAACATGTAAGGTCGCACTATATTTAAAAACAGAAGAGTCACACTTTTTCAGTAAGAAAGTTTTCATAAAAAACTATTCAAAATAAGTTTAATCATGTTTTGCCGCATAGAGTCAAGGGCAATGTATTCACATATTAATCACTTGCTCATTTTTATGGATGTGTTTTCTGTGTTTTAGGTATTGCCAATAGTGGTGCAACCATGATCTGTATATTTAAAGGCATCACGAATGCAGCATTTTATATAAAGATACTGGGAGAATTTTTGCTTCCATTTATCAGAGCCAGGTACCCGCCTTGACACCGAATCCAACAAGATATTGACTCAAAGCACACGAGTAGGTTGGCGCAAGGATTCTTAAGAAATCACAGGATTAACTGGTTCCGGACACCCCTTGAAAACCCAGATCTTAACCGTATAGAGAACCTCTGGGCCCAGGCTAAACAATACCTCCTGAAGTTTGTAAAGCCAAGCACCAGGGACGACTTGGTTACCAGACTCAGCCAATTTTGGGGAATAGTGGATGCAACAAAGTGTACAAAATACATTAAGCACATACACAAGGTGATCCCAGAGGTAATAAAAAGGGATATTTTGGCTATTGATATTTTCTGCCATAAGCATATAATGATATTTTATATAACTTTTTTATAACATTTTTGGTAAATTTTTTTTTGTCTTGGGACAGATTTAATATTATCTTAATTATAAATGATTTATCCTCTTTATGACAACCTAAAAACTTTACTTTATAAAGACTTACATATATATTTATACGTGTCTTTCATTTATACCTATTCAAGTGACTGATATCATACAAGGTAAAGGCGTTCAACTAATAATGCATTATACGATCACTGGACAAGAGATACTGGTCTAGAGAGAACAGATTTCACTTTCTGAAAGGCAGGGTATAAACTGTTAATTTTGTGACTCTGTGAAAGGCACATGGCTATATTGTATGAATTGTTTATTCTTATTTTGTTTCATTGTTGTAAATAAAATCTGTTGCTGACTTATATGCATTGTTTAGTCCTCTGTGAGTTTGGAATTTAATTGTGCGGACCTACGGCACGTTACAGTATTATTAATTGGCACAAAGTTGTTTTTTTACTTGTGAAACATATTGACCTGTCATAACCTTATCGGTAAAATTTTTGGAACTTAATATAGTATCAAATTGTTTTTTCACTGAATTTTAAACTATAATGTCTTGTAAAAGTTTGAAAATTACTGTGTAGTCGTATTACCGACCTTAGTATATAGATAAACTTTAATAACACTTTTGAAATGACTTTCATGTAGTTTTTAATGTGGCAAGTACTTCTTCCCCAGACGTTATCTTGTGCACGCGAGACAAGAAACAAAAAGTCTATCCAGTCCATCCCTCTACCACCCCTTATGATCAGATCCTCCCAGGCGTCCAAACTACATACAACTCTTTCCTCTCTGACCCTGTGCCCTTCCCCAGTCCTTTGCCAACTACACCTTTCCAAAATCCCCTCATCACTGGAAGCAGTGCCCTCACCTCTGC